CCCCTGCGCCCGCCACCCACCCGCGCCGCCGCGCGCGTCGTAGGCCGCCACCACCCCGTCCTCCGACGAGACCAGGAACACCGTCGGCGCGTGCGGCGCCCACGCCAGCGCCTCCACATCAGCAGACACCTTCCAAGTAGGGACCGCCCCCCCGCCGCCGCCCTTGCCCTTGCCGCCGCCGCCGCCGCCGCTGCCGCCGCCCGGCGCCCGCACGTCCACTATGCAGGCCGTCCGGTCAAACGACCCGGTCAGCAGCACCGGCGCCTCGGCCGGGTTCCAGGCCACCGCCTGCACCTTGCCAGAGTGGTGCAGCAGCGTGTGCTCGCAGCGCTGCGCGGCGACGTCCCACACCTTGACAGCCCCGTCCGCGCCGCCGCTGGCGAGCACGTTCCTGTACGCGCCGTTCCACGCCAGCCCCAGCACCGCGCCCTCGTGGCTCCCCGCCCGCAGCGCCGGCGGCGCCGCGCGCCGCTTGAGCTTCTGCTTCGCCGCCTTTTTCCGCGCCTTCCGCTTCTCCTCCCGGCTGAGCCCCTCGCCGCCCGGCCCCTCGCCTTCCGCCGCCGCCGCGTCGACGCCGCCGAGGGTGGCGGCGGGCTCGACCTGATCTATCAGATCCAGATCCCAGATCTCGATCCCGGGCTCCATGCTGCCGATCGCGACCATATTGGCTTTCTCGCGGGCGCCAGAGGGGTCAAGATCCATCCACGCCATGCACAGTGGGAAGGCTGGCAATAGGATATCGTGATGAGGATAGATATTCGCCTCGCCGCCTGCGGGGATTGCGGAACGAGCAGGCAGTGGGTCGTACAAGTGCCACTGGCGGGCGGCTGTGCGCGCGTGCTTGTGTGTATTTGGGGGGGAGGATTGAGCAAAGGAGGGGGTGCGCCTGCGAGGTCGTGTGGGCGTTGCTACCGGCACTGCAGCAGGGTGCCAGCGGCTTACCTCAAAACCCCAGCACGCGCGCAACCGCCGCAACGGTGAGCCCCCCCCCCTGGCAGCCCCTGCAGCCTCCCTCAACCCAAGCCACCATGGCCGGCCGCGGCCGGTGGTGAGGCCGTCACAACACACACACACACACAAACACACACACACACACACGCATATACACACACGTCCGCGCGCGCGCGCCCGCGCCCCTCACCTGTCGAGGGCCCGGCCTCCTCGTACACCCACACCCCCAGCGTGCTGACGTCATCCTCGTTGCTGGCCGCCAAGATCAGCAGATCGTCCGGCCGGATGACGTAATCCTCGCGCTCGCTGCCGCTGAGGCTGTCGTCGTCCTCGTCATCGTCCTTGCCGCCGCCGCGAGGCAGGTAAGGGTCATCCAACACCACGCCCTCAGCCACGCGGCCGCCAAGCGCGCGCGCCACCACCGCGGCCGCGCAGCCGCCGCCGTCTTCATCGTCGTCCTCGTCGTCGCCGTCGCCGCTGGCGCCGTCGTCGGACGAGTCGTAGTTGTCCATGTCGAGCTGCTTCAGGGCGGCTTCCAGGTCGCCGGTGGCGGCCTGCGGGGGTCGGCGTGGTGCAGATGTTCAGAGGTCCGTGTTTGCCAGGTTTGAATCACCCAATGTACGGACGGGTGGGCGCTCAGATGCAGCGCAGGCAGCATCATGGTTGGTGGCGATTGTAAGGGGCGTGCTTCAGGGTGGAGCGGGGTGGGTGCGGGTAGGAAGGGTCGGGCAGCAGGGCCGCGGCAGAAAGGGACGCAGCAGCTGCCGCCTTGGGCGTTCAGCACAGGGGCGCCGGCCCTGGCGCCCCAGCGTCCGATGCATCAGGCGGCAGCCGCCGCGGCGGGCCAACAGGTTCCCACTCGCTGAAAAGTCCGGCGGCCCGCCGCAGCGGCAGCCGAGTAGTGAATGGCCATGCCATCCCCTGGTATCAGTGGTCCCTCCTGCCTGCCCTGCGCACCGTCTTGCCGCCGCTGCCGCCCTTGCTGCTGCTTGCCGCCAGTGCCGCCGCCACCGCCTTCGCCTTGGCGACCGCCTCCTGCTCGTCCATCTCTTCGTCTTCGGTCTCCCAATCATCGCTAGGTTCGTCATCCTCCTCTTCACCACTCTCGCCGAGCACGCCAGCGGCCACGGCCTGTGCTTCCGCCCTCATGGCCGCCAGCTCTTCTTCACTCACAGGCGCAGCCTCCGGTACGGGCTTCGCTGCGCCCTTGGGAACCCAACATATGCAGCTGATCATGCCCGAGGACGCCATGGCAGCACGTCAGGGCCCGCAGTGGCCTGCGAAGCCCGGGAACAGCAGGACAAGACGTGGTCAACCCGCAACTTGCTAAAATGAGAGTCGCAGCGCAATTGTATATACAGCCATCATAAATACGTGGGCGTCGGTCTACTTGGTTTTTTACTGGGGTGATCTCATCTCACTAGCATGGGTCACCGGCGCTATCCGTTGCGCAAACCGCCCGACAAGACTAGTTGCAGGTTTACCATCCACCTAACAAGCATTCACGACCCCAACGAAGCGCAAGAGGGACCTAACGATAGATCTTGCCTCGCCACACACCTTCGACAAACAAGCTCAGCTCAATGGCTCCCAAGAGGGCAAGCAAGAAGAAGGTGAGGGCGGAGTTATGGGCTGATCAAATGGTACAGCCGGCAACAGGCCCATGGGATGGCGGCGGGCGGAGGTGGTGGCCATGAGGTCCCACACGCGGGCTGCGTCCCGATCCCGCACCCTCGCGGCAGCCGCCCGCCGGCCCGCACTCACCAGAGGCTGGGTCGCGCGCTCTTTGGGCTGGCCTCGGCTGAGCGCGCCGGCTGCGTGGCCGCTGCGGTGCCAAGATCGCGGCGGCAGCGGCGGCGGCGCCGCCATTGCCCCCGAAGCCCAGGCCGCGGCCCCCAGCATGATAC